TAAACTCAGATTACTGAGCTGGGACAGATTTTCGATGAGACGTCTGCCTTCTAAATTTAGTCCTAAATATCTTGTTACGCTTAAAATGCAAGGGAGCAAACTCGAAAAGCTTTGGGAAGGAGCTGCCGTAAGTTCTTTTGTTTTTTGGGGTAAAATGTAAAATTTATGACATTCTATTCACTAATGTGTAACTTACTTTTCTTTCAGCCTCTTACATGCCTCGACTATATGAATTTGTCAGGATCCGAGAACTTGAAAGAGATTCCAGATCTTTCCATGGCGATCAATCTCAAGACACTTGATCTTAGTGATTGCTCGAGTTTGGTGGATGTTCCTATATCTATTCGAAATCTCAAGAAACTAATGACGTTGGAAATGTCAGGATGCACAAATCTAAGGACTCTTCCTAGTGGCATCAACCTCGAATCTCTCTATAGCCTAGAACTAAGAAGATGCTCACAGTTGGAGATTTTTCCTGATATTTCAACCAACATCTCATTTCTTAACCTAGACGAAACAGCCATTGAAGAAATCCCTTCTAATTTGCGTCTCGAGAATCTCGTTAGTCTTCACATGGAGCGTATTAAGAGTAAGAAGTTGTGGGAAAGAGTGCAGGTATGTAATGTATGTTTTGTTTTTCAGCACTGGTTCTAAAAAGGGTCTTATGTTAGTATGTTATGCGCCATAGTTTTTATGCGTTTTGAAAAACTTACAATGTTTTATTAAACCATTAACATGGATATAAATTTTTGAAAAATTAAAGTATTGAAATTTCTTTTAAAGTTTTCATCAACTTTTGACAGTAGTTTTTCAATATTTTGCCACAAACTTAAATGGATTTTCAACAGTTTTCAAAAAACTTGCAAACCAATTCCTTAAAACTTCAAAGGTTTCTCAAAAAAAAAGTATGATGAAATATTTTAGAAATTAAATATTTGTAAGCTTTCAAAAACTTTTGTAAATGTTTGAGTAGTTTCTGATGACACATATATGTCACATGGGAGGAAATAAAAAATAAAAATAAATATATATGTCACTAGAAACTTAAACACCGCCCATAATCTTTCAACGAAGCATACTAAACGGCTGGCTCTGAGTATCAACAAAAGAAAAACACAAAGCATGATGGTTCACCTTGTACAAATTTGTGAACTGTTGACCAGTAAAGGAAATCATTTGAGGTTTGAGATTAACACCTCTACATTGTTTTTTTCTTTTTTGTTCAGCCGCTTACTACCCTCATGACCATGGTGTCTCCCTCTTTGAAGAGTCTGTCTCTCTCGGATATTCCAGGTTTAGTGGAGCTTCCTTCCTCCATTCAGAATCTAAACCAGCTGACGGATTTAAATATTAGACGATGCAAAAATCTGGAAGCTCTCCCAACCGAAATGAACCTTGAATCTCTTGATGTAGTCAATCTCAACGGATGCTCAAAGCTAAGGACTTTTCCGGATATCTCAACCAACATCTCAAAGCTCTATCTAAACGAAACAGGGATTGAAGAGGTTCCTTTGTGGATCACGAAGTTTTCTAAGCTCAAGTTGCTGCATATGGTGAAATGCTTCAAGCTAAAGAGTGTAACCCTGAACATTTGTAAAATGAAACATCTCGAGGAAGCTGACTTTACAGTCTTAAGGGCACCGTCCAACAAAGCTAGCTGGATTGACAGTCCAAAAGCAGTGTCAATGGAAGCAGACAGCGTTAACATTACATTACCAATCCCCGAGGAGGCTTCCTCTTCTCTCTGTGTCCCAAAACTCTGCCTCAAATTCGTCAACTGCTTCATATTGGGAGAAGAAGCTCTTCTTCAACAACTCTCAGTTTTAAAGGGACTGATATTTCCAGGTGAAGAAGTACCATCATATTTCACTCACCGAGCTACTGGAACCTCTCTGATCAATATCACTCTGCTTCAAACCTCTCTCTCCCAACCATTCTTCAGATTTAGGGCTTGTGCTATTGTTGATCTTGACTCTAGGTTTTACCCAGAGTTTCCCTATGTAGTTATCCAGATATGTTGTCGGTTCAGAGACAGACTTGGAAACACTTTTGAGCTCTTTGGCCAACCACATAGCTTCCGGACATATCAGAAAGGTAGTCATCTGTTTATATTTGACTGTTGTTTGCCACTTAACAAAGCTGATGCTCGTGTACTTAAGCATGACCAAGTCGATATTGAGTTCCGTATCATTGAAGACTGCTCTATTTACATACTAAAAGGATGTGGTATACGAATCTTTGAGGACTATTGTTCATCCTCGGGTAACCGACCTGGTAAGCCAAATATTTCTCTCTATATATATGTTTTGGAAAATGGTATATCAATATTTATGTATCTCATAGTTGGTTTTCTTAAGGATCAAACCGGATACTTGTTTATATAATAGATCACTTGATTGTTTTCTACAGATAGCGTGAGCTCTACGTTAGGTTTAACTAGATGGGCTCTGCCACATCCTACCAACCGGAACATGCTAAAACATTTAACGTTGGCTCTCAACGAGGCGAAGCAGCAGCTTCTAAAAGGATCAAGGCAATAGTTTGATGCTGATTTCCGAGGGGGATGATTTAGTTCCGATATTGAAGTCTGTGTTTCAGAACGGAGAAACAGCGAAATTGTTTTCAGCTGATAGAAACACTGTCAACAAGCTAATTAAGATAGCAGAAATGATGTAATAAGCAGCCAAAGATGTTTTCTTTATGTACACTGAATTTGTTAGTTCTACCAGTGGGCTACTTTTCCGGAATCAAAGATCACTTTATAACAAATATTTAAAGTAATTAAGTGTGAGTGGAGAATGGACTATAAAGAGATAATAATATTAATTCAAGCCCCTTTTCCTTAACGAATCTTCCACTCGCTCTGTATTTTTAAAATCACTTAACGACAAGCACTTGTTTTGAGTCTATCCTCTCCCATAGAAAAAGCTCACAACATTAGTTTTATTACACGAAAATTAATTCATGTAATGTGAGAAAGAAACTTAAAAAACGACTTAGAGGCCTAACGTTCTTTAATGTAATGTGAGAAGAAAAAAAATTCGTAATTTGTCTCTGGATCTAACATTCTCTGGTTCCTTTTTCTCTGTTTCATCACAGCAATTGTTGCCTTCTTTTGATTTTTCCCCACTTAGTCACAAATCATTGTTCTTCGGATCTTGTTTCTTTGAGAGGAATAGTTCTATTGATTTAATGG